TCCTGAGCACATGAGTTTGAGACCTGTCTGAATAACATAGTAAAGCCTTGTCTCAAACAAAAGAAAACAAAACAGGGCAGGTAGTCTCAATACTCACCATGGAACCAGAAGAGTGGCAAGGGCAGGACATAGCTTGCAGGAAAGAGCTGATGCTTTCAAAACTCTGAGTTTCTCTGGCCAACAAACCAAGGCTTCAAATGCCACCTCATTTGGCTCTATGAGTTATCTAAGCCAGAATCTATCCAGAATTCATATAATGGTTCCCAATGGGAAATCTTCTTTTATTCCTACAGATCCTACTATTATTGCCTAGGAAGACTCCTTTTAAGAAGTAATTACTGCTTATTGGCTTTTCTTGTGTGGAATAAAACAAACAAAAATACACTAGTGACTTTAATTAGGCAGAAAAAATGGTTAACAGATTGCACCCTAATTAGCATGGTTCATCCAGACAAATGTTTCTCATTCTATGACAATAAATTATAAAATGGAGTAAAAAAATGGATTCCAAATTAACAGTGGCCCAGATGTAGTATCATATAGGCAAAGAGAATAAGATAATATGCTACAGAACTATTTGGTGCTTGGACTGGTAGTGTGGCTCAAGTGAAAGCAAGCATGAAGCCCTGAGTTCAAATCCCAGTACCATAACAAAAAAAACTCCCAGAATTTACAGAAATATTTGATACTTGCAAGAGGTAGGCACAAAGCACATGCAAAGAATGATTATCAACAGTGAAAATCTGGAAAGAAAAGAGGCAGAATGACTCTGGCTGCAAACCAGAGTTCCCACATAGACAAGCTCTCAGGAAAGCTGCAATCTCTTATCAGTCAATTATTCATTCAATGCACCAATTAGTTTATAGGGCTGGTTATAAAACAAAGCAAGATGATTAATTGTTTCCTTTATGTACATCAATGGCTGGGGTGAAAAATATTATGGAAAATCTTTCCTGTTGAGATGTTAGACTTGAAGCAGTCCATTTTAAATGGGAAAATGATACTGATCTTGGTTTATAAACATGGGTCAAATACTAGGATTATGAACACCAATTCAATAAAAATCTGCCTAATTAAAAGATTCCCAGGGTTCAGATGATGACCCACTTACTTCAAGATGTAATAAATATCAACATAATAAATATCAAATAAGCACTACAATTTGGACATTCACAAGTATTTGTTTTCTTTGTATATATCTGTGTAGATATATAAATATAGTATATGTGTGTGTGTGTTTTTTAGATAGGGTTTCACTATGTAGCTCAGGCCTTGAACTTGCTACGTAGCCCAGGCTGGCCTTGAACCTGCAATCCTCCTGCCTCAGTCTCCTAAGAGCTGGGATTATAGGTGTGTGCACCATGCCTGACACAAAATGTATTTTTAGTTAGCAAATAATAATTTGAGAATATTGACTAGTAATTACCTGGTTCATGGCTTCAGGATGATTTAAAATGCTAACCCACCATAGACTAGTTCTTATGTTTCAAAATTTTATATTTTACATAGTGATTAAAAAGCAAGAGCTAGGGGTGTCTAGTATATTTATAGCTCATAATTTTTTAATATTGAAAAATTACTGTCAAAGGAAATGTTCTACTAATTTGTGAAACAAGCATTTTATGTTGTTACTTCATGGTGTGAGAAGGGAGGCTGACCCTTTAGATTCTCATAAAGAACAACCTGATAGGGTTCCCATTAGACATAAGAGTGAATCTGGAAACTGTTCTGCTTTTCCTGAGTAACAAATCGGAGTTAACAGATCTACTGCTCAGGGAGCTTCCAGCCTTTAGAGACAAAGGAGATGTTGAACTAATGCAAAAGTAGTGTGGAAGTCAAAAAAAGCTGTTAAATAAGTTATTTCTTTATTTGTCATTTCACAGGAGACCCAAACAGCAATACTAGGAATATACCACTTACAACAACTATTCTGGGGGGGAAGGGAGGCAGGCTATAAAAAAGATTTCCCTATTGAGGAAAAGGGGTATTTTTAAAAACCATGTCAAATAGTACAATTAATGTCCAGAGAATAAGAAATACTATTTTTAAAAATACAAACTAGAGAAAGTTAATACAAATCTTGGCTGGTGAGGACACAGACTGTCTTCTGCATAGGAATGATTAGTCTTAGGGAATACAACAGTTGCACAATCTCTAGGCAGGCATTAGATTTCTATATCATTAAAAAGGGTCAAAGGCTTACTGAGTACAGAAACCAGGCATCATATAACATGAAAGGTATCAGGTGCTGCTAGTTTTCAGTTCTGCAGTCACTAAAATATCATCCTGCTTTTGCTTCCTCAAGTTAAAAATAATACTTGTTGAGTTATAGTTTTAAATTTGCCCATAGGTCTTCTTGAACATTTGATTAAGTGCAAGGTGTACAAAATATTCTCTTCATATGGACAGTCATTATTTTAAAATTCTTTGAGGACATTTTCATATTTATCTCCTGTAATAGTACTAAGAAAAAATAACAAACTTTTAAATCCTTGATCAAAATTTCAATCCTGTTCTGAAGAATGTTGGATCAGGGGCTCTATCTCTTTAACTATGTGTGCTCTCTAGAAGAAAACTACATGTGTATACACCTATCACAGACGTCTGAATGATGATAGTGAGAAAGCTGTCCTGCCTTTACAAAAATGCACAGATACTTCCTGTGTTTTCACTATAAAAGCTCAATCATTTTCTTCAAGAGAACTCTGAAGACTCTGTAGCCCACACAGTCTCAGGTTATGTGGAGTTCATGGTCTCAGAGAGTAGGACTAGAATTTGAGAATCAGGCATGGAAGATTCAGTTATAACCTGTCAATCGTCTCCCTCAGTCTAGGGACACAGTGTTCCTCCTTCCTGAAATTTCAGTTTCCTATGGCCCCATCATAGATAAATTTTGGACTCTCATAGCTACTTAGGCTTTTAGCTGTCGTCTTTGCCCCTTAGCATGTCCTTAACATTGACCTTCAAATCTACTCGATATGCACCCCAGTGTTGCTGATTAATGTTTTGGAGTCAAGGGAGAACTGAGCTTAAATCAAGACTGTACTGATTATTATTATTATCTGAGTGATGCTGGAAAGCCACTTTTCTTCTATATGGATTCAAACTTCCTCATATGTAAAATGTTGATAGCAATAATTACATGTCAGGGTAGCAGAGGATCAACCAGTTACAAACGAGTATCAGAAGACACACAAGCACAATAGCACCATTAAATTAGTTGTTAAAGAGCACCCAAACCAAATTTTAAAGAGCACCCTAATTAGTCAGACATGAGAGGAAAGGAACTAGGCTAGTGAAATCTTCTGAGATGAAGTCTAGTTTGGTATGCAGTCCCAAGAGTCGACAGTCTCCAAATTAGTTTTGCATATCTTCCTCTGTATCAGACATTCTCTATAGTATGGTCTTAAGCCATTTGGACACTGGAAGTTGGTTACAGTAAGCTGATGCTACTGTGGGAATTCATAGCCACAGACCACTAAAACTGGGAAGCAGTCTCTTATTAAAGCTACCCATGTTTTGAGTTCCTGTAATCTAAATTCTCAAATTTTCTCCTACTGTGACCTCTGTCTAAAAGGCAGGTATGTAAGTTAGTGGAATGCAGGTGGGAAGGGTGGATGGCAGCAGGAGTGACACAAGAAGAAAGCAGTACCTGACTCTAAAGAAAAAAATTGGAAAAACAGAAAGGGGATGTTCACTAAAGAGAAATTTGCTAAATGACCACAGGCATCACCCACTGCTCTGGGAGCTGTGGTTACAGTTGAACAAATGTTGAAAGGGGCTCTTTACACCAAAAAGTACTATGGAGTATGAGAAGAGGGGAGGGAGAAAAGGGAAGTACCAACTGAAGTAATGGTGTTTAGCCTTGTGAACCCCAGTTGGTGGTGTCTGGGTACCCAGCAGCTGTTGGGGAGAAAGTGTCTGTGGCTCCTTGGAAAAGGAAGGTACCAGTCCATGTGTGGAAGAAACACTCTTGGAACTTAGTAACAGTGACCTGTACACTGAACCCTCTCTTGGTCTGCTCACAAAAAAGAACTTATGAATGAAACAGCTCACAACAACATTCTTTTGGTAAGTTGGTTACTATAAACATCCCTGGCTAAGGCCCCAAACCAATATGCCATACACCAAATTCCACTACCTGATAATTTACATGGTGAGGAAGACATTGAATATGGATATGAAATAACTGAAAAGAAATAAGCAGTCTGTTCAGATTTTCTCCCCACAGTTCCCCAAATAAGGAAGCTATGACTGGCTTTCTTCTTCCGCTGTATATACAATAAAGACAATCAAGTTGCCTAAGAAGGAAGTGCCACCTTGCCAACTACCTAATATGCCCATCAGGGCTTTCTCATAGCTTGCTATTGGTAACATTTCTTGCTTTTGTCAGCTTCTAACAGAGGAAGACACTAAATTAGATGCAAATATCCATGTGCTCATCACTTTAGCAGAGACATTCACTAGAGTAAATGGAGAAAAGTGTCAAATGGGTGTGCCTAGGATTTCACAAACACCTCTACACAGCTGGACGCCAAAGTTATTAGAGTTATTTCTTGACTTGAAAGCAGGAAATACTCTGATGGTACCTGGTGACTGAGAAATAAGAATGATTTCACAGCCAACTGAACTATAATATTGATCCATAAGGCACAGAAAAGCAACAACTAAATATTGCTACAGAAATTAAGAAAAGACCCATAAAATATAGTGATAAAAACTCTAAAATCTCCCTGTCAAACAGTTTGTTTGCAACTGATTAAAAATTCAAACTGTAGCTTGAAATATGGATCTGTTTTTTATTTAACAGTTTATCAAGCATTATGAACCATAACCTCTTGAAGACAAGCTGTCTTTACTTGCAATGCTTTTTCCCCTTTACTGATTTCTATATGTTCTGAAATGCTTTTGCTCTCAACCTAGCTCTACAAGCTATGTATAAACACATGTTCCACCTATGAAACAACTATGAACATACGTAAGTAAAAAAGGCTGCTTACTCGGAGCGTCTTGGCAGTCGGGGAGGGAGATGCAGGGGGAGAATCAGACTGAGATTTCCTATTCCGAGTGAATTCTTTACTTCGAGTATATAAAGAGGACATGGTTCCTCAGGATGTAGAAAGACACTCAACTCTTGATTCTTCGGGCAAAGCTGAGAAACTGTCCCTGTATGTTACTCTCACAGAATCTCTCCTTTTGAGTCGATGCGAGATGACTTTGGACAGAACTAAATAAAGGATAAAAGCCGCCCTGTAAATTATAGTCTTGAGCTCTGAACCAGTCCACAGTTAAACAGAGTCTGAGAGGCGGGTTCCATCAATTTTTCAATTCAGCTTCAACCACAAGTGCTCAGTACTGGTAGCTCATGGTACAGGGTATTGTTCTGAGCAACACCTTTTATGCCTAGATTGAGTCTCTGATTTTCCCAAAAGAATACTTCTTATTTGGCTTGCTCTTCAATGAAACCTGAATTTAGGTTCCTGATGACACCAGATTAAATCCCAGAGGAAGGATGACTCTGAATCCTGCTGCAGACGAGCCGGGAACAACTACTGTCACTTTATCCAGAGGGAAGAAATACAAATCCTCTGAAAACCATGCTGTCTTCCCTTAGCTTGACTCCACTGGCCTGTAAGAGTTTGTAACCGATGTGATAAATTCAGGTTAAACAACTTAAAAAATATATATATATAAATAAGGAACCAAGAGTTATAAGAAGGAAGCAGTCTGAGGAAGTCAAGTTTTCCCTAAGTCTTTCCAGACGAAGCTGCTCTTACATATAAACACTCACAGTCAAACACACATCTTTTCCCCTCCCCTCTTCTATTTTCTGACATTCCAAAATCCCTATTCGCTCAGCGAGGAATGCTGGAGAGGAGCCAAGGGCAAAGATTCACTTTCAACTCAGAATTCAGGTTTCCACTTGAAGAAGGAAAAGAAAGCCTGCCAGCTTCTAGGAATAAAGGGAGGTTCTTTGGGGGCATGCTTAGGGGCAAATCCCCAACATTCAGTTTGTCACCTCAGTGTGGACAGCAGTTGCCAAGGCTGATTTCTCTAAATACTGCTCTAAATATGAGAATGGTGAACTTTCAACTTCTGGATCTCTTAAGTAACAAAGCCCAGACAGACGCATCAGTCAAAGAACCTTCAGGCCTTTTATGTTCAATTTTAATGAAATGTCATTACTGCTACTCTATGAGGAAGTCCAGCAGTTTGAAACCGGTTCACTGAAAAGGAAGCTCTATATATCAGAAATCTTATTGGCTGAATCTCTACATATAAAGCTTGTCAGAGTTCCTAAAATGCAGGAATGAACAAGATTAGGAAAGAGTATACAGGTGAGGGGAGAGGGGAAAAAAAGTCAGAAATATAGAGAGAAAGGAGATGGTTATGAAACTACAACACTACAGTAAAAATGAGGAGTTAAAAAGAAAGGAATTTTTTTGCTGGGTGTTGAAGGATTTTGCATTTGGCCTTGAAGAAACATCTCAAATTTAATCTTTTGCACTCTGTTGTCATCACTATACTATCTAACATTTCTAAGGCAAATGTTTTCTAAGCCAATGGGTTTATTATCCCCCAAAAAACAACTCACTTCTCTCTGGGATCCTGGAAACTCTATCCTAACCCTCCCTTTTCCACATGAAATTTTAATTTTTTCCTTCAAATCTTTCCAATAAACCACTCTTTTTCCTCTGATTGTCTTGATGGCTTCTTTATTCCAATGACCAATTTTGTGAAATTAAATAAAGAGAATGGTCAGTTACATGGGCATTAGTTAAGGAATACTGTTTGAAAGGATTTATAAAGAAGTCTTGATTTATTCCCAGTCTGAAAAAAGCTCCTTAGGAAGACAAGTCAATTCTACCACAAGCCAGAATTACAGATTCTGTTTCTAAAAGGCCAATTATTGTGGGGGTTCAGAATGTTGAATCTAAACTTTCTTCATTCACTTATTCTTTTGTACGTTTTCTAACCCTGCCAACAAGCATTTATTGCTCCTTTTTGACTTAAAAGACCCTAATTACCTGTGAAAATTAAAGTATCCTTCACATCCCAGTAGAAATAAGTACTGAAAGGAAATATTCTTGGCCAGTCTTGCTCTTTCCAGTTATACAGTGAACATAGTTTTCAGGTAGTAAACATTTGTAGTATCATTCTCAAGTTACAGATCCAGATATTAAAACAATTTGTATTGTTGCTGGGCAATGGCAACTCATGCCTGGTAAGCATGGTTACTTGGGAGGCTGAGGATCATGGTTCAAGGCCAGCCTGGGCCAAAAAGTTCATGAGATCTCATCTCAACCAACAGCGGGGTACAGAGGTGTGCATCTGTTATCCAGCTACATTGGAGGTTGAGATTGGGAGGACTGTGGTCCAATCCTCCCAATCTCACTTTTTTGAGATTTTTTTTGGCCTGGCCAAAAAAGTGAGACCCTATCTCCAAAATAACCAGAGCAAAAGGGGCGGAAGATGTGGTTCAAGCAGTAGAGTACCTGCCTAGCAAGTGTGAAGTCTTGAGTTCAGACCCCAGTACTAAAAAATAAATAAATAAAAAATAAAAAAAATCTGTATTTTTCCCCACACTAGCCTACCCTAACACCTTGCCAAGGACGTAACTTTACCAGAGATTGCCTAACCACAGAAGTTTTCTGCTTAAACAATTTGCATGGAGGGATAGCTTTGCTTTCCTAGGTGGGTATTCACCAACTGATGATTCAGGCTATTCTCTCTCAAGTTAAGATTTAGTAACCAAGAAGTCTGGTAAAGGAAAAACCTCAGAAACAGACTTCCAAGAGTTAAGCTTTGCAAAAGATTTAGAAAATGTTTTATTCCACATAGGTAGGACAGAATGTTGGGTTCTTCTGTTTTATTTCTTCTAGGTGAGATAAAGTGGTGCAATGGAGAGACCATAAACTGTAGCAGGTTATTTGTTATAACTAAGTTAAGAGTCCCAGGTGGTCAGCTCAAAAGTCTCCATCAAATAAAAAAACTATAAAATATGGGGACTATAGTTGGTTGCTTTTGAAATGATATACACCAAATGTGTGAACCATTAAAATGCCTAATGGGTGATGAGCCCTGATCATCAACCCTCATCGGTGTCCAAAAACTTTAAGGGACAGTAATTTCTAGGTTTTTTCCTCTTTTTGTTTCTTAAAATAAAAAAAATTAAATAACATGGTTTAAGAGTGATGATGTTTGGTAAATGTTTCCTCAGGGATGATTCCCAAAGCAACTAATATGCTACCATCATGCTGTACATGAGGTTGGAAGTGTGGGCTTTACAGTCAGATTTCCAGGGTTACAATCAAACCTCTGCTCAACTAACTGACATAATTAAATTCTTTAACCTCAGAGTCTTATTTGTCTCACCCCCCAAACAGTGACAATGTCCACTTGGAGAGTTAGTATATGGTTTAGTCCTAATCTATAGCAAATGCATCATCCAGCAAAGTGCCCAGTATGGTCATGCTCAATACACTGTAGTTATTACAAAAGAAGCTTGACCAAAGATTTGAGGCCAGGCATAGTGGCTCATGCCCGTAATCCCAGCTGCTTTGGAGGCAGAGATTGAGAGCATTGCAATTCAAGGTCAGCTCAGGCAAAAAGTTAGTGAGACCTCATCTCAAAAACAACAAGCTAGGTGTGGCAGTGCACCTGTCATCCCAGATATGAGGGAAGCCATAGGTAGAAGAATGACAGTTCAAGTCCAGCCCTGGGCAAAAAGGACTAAGGTGCGGTTTAAATTGTAAATTGCCTGCCTAGCAAGCTTGCGACCTTGAGATTTAAAAGAAAAAGATTTAAGGAAAAACTTCTGTGCCTATATTCTTTCCTACCTTCCTTATTTCTTAGAAGGCAGAGCCCTGGCTAAAGGGGAGGGTACAGTGATGAAGCAATAACCGGATCTAGTCAGGGTATTAGATTTATATAGGGAGATTGAACAAATAAGAAAACATATTGAGGATAATGGAAAATACATCTTTCCTGGTTTAAAAAAAAACAGGTATAAAAATAAAACAAAGGGAAAGCTAGAACGAATCCTGTGGTGGTATGCAAAACTTAAGGCACTGGTATGGATTCAGGATTTTCTTTTCTTTTTTTAAACTTTTTTATTAGCATATATTAGTTATACAGAGGGTTTTCATTGTGACATTTCTAAATATGCTTCAATGTACCTCTGTTAGATTCCCTCCTTCCTTCCTTCATTCTCCCTCATCCCCTTCCCCTTCACTTTAAATAGGTTTCATTTTTTTATTTTCATACAACCCTATATAAAGTACACCAAACACTTAGTACCCTGTTTGATATCCCAATCCTTCGTTTTTTAAAGTTTATATTAATTGTTCATGGGGTTTCATCTTGGTATTTCACCCACAAATATACTGCACTTTTAATCAGATTAACCCTCTCAATTAGACTCTCCCTTACCCTTTTCCCCCACCCCATTATTCAACAGCTTTTTGTGTATTTTGTTAAGCCATCTCTTCCCACATAGATGCAATGTATTTCAGTATTATCCACTTTCCATCATTCTCTTTTCCTCCCCCTCCTCTCCGTAGTCCCCTCAAACAGACCCACTATTACAGACATGTTCTCTCTACATATATACATATGATCATGTTTGTATCTGTATATATGTTTATCTTTTAGGTCTATCTTCTAGATATGAGAGAAAACACGTGACCTTTGTCTTTCTGACCCTGACTTATTTTGCATAACATGATAATCTCCAGTTTGGATTTAGGACATTCAACATAGAGAAATAACTATACTGACAGGGCTGGGAAGAGCAACACCCCAGTAGCATTTAGCACACCTCCACCCCAGATCATTGTTTCTAAATGCCACACCCCACTATAATAGGGCTCCCTAGAGGAAGTGGCAAATTCTAGAGCAGAAGCAGGGAAAGAAAATGAACCTGGGTATCCTGTGTTAGAGCAAAATACTTAAAGCAATGACTGGGACATGGCAAAGGACACAGAAGTCTGGGCATGGTGGTATATATCTGTAATCCCAGCTTCTTGGCAGGTAGAGATCGAGAGGATCACAGTTTGAAGTTAGCCTGGGCAAAAAATAAGGGAGAGATACCCACATTTCAACAAACAAACTAGGTGTGGTGGCATATGTCTGTAAGTGAGAAGTAGAGGTAAGAGGATCATAGCCTGAGGCTAGCCCCAGGCAAAAAGGGTAGCTGTATTTGAAAAATAAACTAAAGTGAAAAAAGGATATGAATAATAAAAGAAAAAGGAAAAAAAAAAAAGAAAAAAGGGTTGAGAGCATGGTTCAAGTGGTAGAGTGCTTGCCTAGTAAGTAAGAAACCCTGAATTTCAAATCCCAATACCACGGGGAGGGGGCATACATCAAAATAAATAAATAATGATAGCAATGAATTATAATCTACTGAATAAAATAGGAATCCATGAGTATACACGGATATAAAGAAGTCAAATATTCACTTATAGTAAAATGTCTACTAATAAATGCAAAAAGAGTAATGTAGTTAGAAAAGTCACCATTTAGAAATGATCACTGTAAAATCAATCCAGAAAAGGAATATTAATGGATGCCAAAAACTGGTAGGTAAAAGTAGATGGGAAGTGGATTTTACATACTCTCAAAGTGTTGCTTTACAAAATATTTATTAATAGCAAAGCAGGAAAAGTGACTTTACTTAGAGAAACCCAGCAGATGACATCTTAAGCTAATGATCAAAGTCAACACCCCAGTAAAATAAGACAAATGACAGTATGAAATGAGAAGAACACAATGTCACAAGAAAGCATAGTGTCACTCCTGTGATACGATGGTCCAAAGTGCATAAATTCTAACTATGAAGAAACATTGGAAAAACCCAAAATAAGGAACACATGTGACTTGTCTGTTATCTTAAAAAATATCAAGGTCATAAAAGTCAAGAAAGGACTGACTACAGACACAAAAATTAATGATTCTGGATTGGATGCTTCTACTACAAAGGGCATTATTGTTTTTTTATTTTTATTTTTTGGTGGCACTGGGGTTTGAACTCAGGGCCTCATGCTTGATAGGCAGGTGCTCTAATACTTAAGTCACTCCACCAGACAAAGGACATTACTGAGACACTTGGTGGAAGTTTGAATATGGTCACTGGTAAAGGGTATACAGGAGTTTTTTGTTCTGTTGTTGAAATACTTCTGTAACTTGAAATTGTTTTAAAACAAAAAGACTCCAGTGCTTTCATCTTACAAGGGTAGGAAAGGGGGACAGAGATGACTTAACTCCAGAGAACTTTTGAAAGATAGCCAACCTCTCATTACAGAGGACTGTAAGATTATATGTTCATCACAGAATTGGGTTTGCTAATGCAGCAGGCAATTGGCTTGGGTGAAGGCAAAAATGACTACCAAGACTGATTAGTAGGTCATGAATCAATTTAGTGGCTTGTGAAACAGAACAGTAAAAGTCTGAATGCATCACGCATAGTAAAGTAAGGGTATGTCTTCATGAAATTGTTGTTTTAGTTATATATAATGCTTTTATATATACTGGGTCACAATGTAAAATATACTTCTTACTATGGGTCATGGGTCAAAGTTTGAAAGCCAATGGTGTAAAGATGTTGATACAAATCCTTTGCTGGTAAGAAGAACAAACAGTTTTTATTCTGGCACGACAAAAGGACAGTCATCTCATCTCTGAGGTATCAAACTGGCAAAAAATATCTGCTTCAAACTAAGATTGACCTAATATTATACTGCTTGATAAGTAAAATCTGAAAACGATACAAAATGTCACTACTTATATATCCAAATTTGGGATCTGTTAGACAATTACCACTATAAGCCAAGAGAGAATGATGTTATTATGATTGATACAATTCCAAGAATCATTTCCAGTGTCAGACTATCACCAAGCAAACATCAGACTATTCAAATGCACCCTAAAAATCCTTACATGCTATTTGGCATGAATGGAGGCTTTCTGAATATCACTAAGGGCTTCAACTACTTCCCATCATCTCAAGAAAAGAACGTTTAGAATTCCAACACACCTTTTCCTAAATGATGAAGTGCAAGGTCTCCTTCCTGCCAAGATCCCAGTGTTCATTACCATATAAGAAGGGATGTGGTAAGCAGTTGTATCACTCTTTAGAATTTTCAAGCATATTGCATTTTGGGCATCAAACATGACACAATTATTAGGTTCAGAGAGAGGAAAAAAACCCAACATCCCAGATTTCTGTTTCCTATATTTGATATTCAAAAAAGACTATTAGCCTGTAGAAGGGATTTTAATATTTTTCCAAACAGATCAAAGTGATAATTTTTTAAAACTTCATCTAGTAAAGATTTTGAGTAGGGAGAGGGTTGAAGAGTAAGTAAGGAAGGAGAGAATATGAAGGCCCAGGTGATACCATAGACAGGTTAGAAAGAACACTATTTGCTCTTTGTGTCACAAACTGA